CCTGCGGCCAGCAGTCTAGCTGCCAGCCCTCAAGCTCCCAGTCGTCCTGCTGTGTGCCCCTCTGCTGCAAGCCCGTCTGCTGCAGACCCTGCTCCAGCGTGTCCCTGCTCTGCCGCCCCGTGTGCAGACCCACCTGCTGTGTGCCCGCCTCCTCCTGCTGTGCCTCCTCCTGCCAGCCCAGCTGCTGCCGCGGGTCCTCCTCTGTGTCCCTGCTCTGCCGCCCGGCCTGCTCCAGCCAGGCCTGCTGTGGCCTCTCCTCCGGACAGAAGTCCAGCTGCTGATAGTCTTGATCTCCCAGGCTTTGCAAGTTACATCTTTGCTCCTGAAGAGTCTCCAGTCTTAGGGGCCCCTAGAAGCTGCCTTTGGGCCACCAGAACTGTTCCAGTCTGGATCAAAGGCCACATCACTGATGTCTGCTGGGGTGTGAAGGTGCCACCTGGTCCCTCTCCCTTTCTGGGGAGCTATGACCCACAAAGTCCTCTGTGTCACAGACAGCAACCCTGGGAGCCCATTCTCATGCCAGCATGATTGTGTCAGATGTGACGGGTCCAGTGCTATATTCAATAAAGTATTTGTGTAAGGAACTTTAGGTTCTGTGCATTTTCTGCCCTGCCCTGAGTCCCCAAGCTCATTCCATGGTGGCCTGAGTGCCCGGCCACAAGTCCCCAGGCCCAGCCCAGGGTGGCTCTGGGTGCTCTGTCATGAGTCCCTAGACCCAGCCCTTGGCAGCCCAGGTGACTGCCCTGAGCCAAACACAGAGGAATTCTCCAGTGCTAAGTGAAGACACTGGGGATGAGGCTCGGTACAGGTATGCCCACCCCACTGCCACTCAGCACAGAGACTGAAGGTCCACATCAAATGTGCTTGGGGGCTTCTAGGTCAGGAGGCCATGAAGAGAGGTGCCTCCTGCTGGCCTGCCCAAGGGCACGAGAGTGTGAGGACCATGCCCTGCTGTGAAGTCCAGCAAGTCCCTGTGGCCCCAGAGACAAATGACATGACCCCCTTGGAGTCTGATGTCTGGCCAAGGAAGCACAAAGCAAAGGGTCCCTGTGAACAGACCCTCAGGATGGGGCAGAGGACATGGCTGGGTTCCCAGTGGATCACCAGCATCGGAGAGTCTAGTGGACCCCAGTCAGACCAGTTGAACAGGCAGTGGCGTTTCTCCCCAGCCCTGTGTCCTGAAACGCCAGGAAGGCCAGGGCCAGAGGACACATGGGGCCAGGAACAGGGGCACCATCCTGGGGCTGGGGCCCATCACTCCACTGCTCTTGAGCTCACCCCAGGAAGGGGGTAGACTCAACCCTAAGGCGGCCTAACCTAACTTGGGCTTTTGAGCAATGTTGAACTGTGAAGGCTTGGGTGATACTTGGCAATGGACTGATGCATTTTATCTTATCTTATTTTGTTTATTATTTTTATTTTATGTGTATGAGTGTATTGTCTGTATGTGTGTAAGTGTGCCTATGTCATGCAATTCCTGCGGAGGACAGAAGAGGATGCTGGATCCCCTGAAACTGGTTGTTAGCCACTATGTGGGTGTTGGGAATCAAACCTGGGTACTCTGGAAGAACATCCAATGCTGTTAATCACTGAGCCATCTCTCCAGCTTCAGACTGATGTGTTTTAATAATGAGATGACCACAAGCCATTGGGGGCCACGGAGCTCTGCCTCACCACAGGCCCAGAATCAACAGATTTGGGACTGTGGGCAGATGATTAAAATGAGTAACATGACTGAAAACCAAAGAAATTGTCAGTGCAAGGGTCTGGTCCTGAGTCCTCCTGCAGCCGACAGACCGTGAGTGACTATCTGGAACCATCCAATAGCTCGCGTCACTCACAGCCAGGGACCATGTGAGCTGGCACAGCCACATGACATGTGGACACGTGCTCTATACAGCCTCATACTCACAAGCAGGCTGACTGCCCATGCATCTGCACAGCTGAGGATATGAAATGCCCATAACACATCGTTAGTGTTAGAAGTTTCTGGGTGAGCGTCTGCCATGGGTGAGCTGTACTTGTGCTCAGGCGGCTCCCTGGTTCCCAAACAGCCTCCTGGCTCCCTGGTGTGCCAGTAATCCGTCCTGAGGACAGTGTGCCAACAGCCCCCTGGACCCTGAAGAGGACCATGCCCCTCTAGCCTCCTCTCCCTGGTGTGCCAACACCTCCCCTCTGAGGACGGTGCCCCTCCAGCACCCATTCCACATGTAGGAGAGCCCTAGCTTCTCTGGTACGGCCAGTTCCTGCCACAGGGACCCAGCAGCTCTGCAGAGCCATCAGTGTTTGTGTCGGGTTCTGGAGCAAATGCGGGTGCCCCTCGTGTGACCCTGTCCTGCCACCACTGGAATGCCTGGGCAGGCCCGGCGCTGGCTCCTCCACAAGCAGGGTCTTGGCCTGAGCCACAGTTGGGCCAGCAAAGCGGGTTCCCAGAGCTGTCTTCTGCCAGGTGTGTTTAGAGACAGGATAGAAGACACCACAACGGGGGGAGCTACTGCCCCACGCAAGACACAGAGGAAGGCAGGCCTGACCGGCAGTGAGCAGACACATGTGAATTGTTCTGTGACCCTTCAGAAAGGATGGGGATGGGGGGTCCTAACCCTGACAACTCTACTGCGAACTTATCTGGAAAGAGTCTTTACTGAGGTCATCAAATTAAAATGATGCCACTAGAGAGACTTAATCCAGTCTGACTGCCCTGACATAAAGGGTGATCAGACACAGAGGGACTCCAGGTAACAATGGAGACAGACTGGGTGATGTGACTCTAAACCAGGATGTCATGACACCAGCAGCACCAGACACCAGTGCATCCTTCCATCTCCTCCACCCATCCAGAGAGGGTGGGGTCAGAAAGGGGGAGACTGGAGGTTAGGAAGGAACTCTGAGGTTTGTGACACTCCCAGGCTAAGGGAGGAACCTCCAAGGAGAACCCTAGGTGGACAGTGGCCCCTGCCATGGAGATACAACCTGTGCCCTAGAAGTTCAGGGAGGAAGTCTGAGAGCCACAACCAGCAGGGACTGCAGGGGTGGACCAGAGAGTCAAGGCCAGCAGGAGCCACAGAGGTAAAGAAGCCACTTGGCTGGCAATAGATGCCTGGAGAGGAGCAGAAAGGGGCAGCTGGCACACAGGCTAGATCAGGGTCTCCTCCCCCAGGGAGAGGGAGCAGAGGGACAGTGCTCCAGCAGAAGGCCTGTGGCCCAAGGAGGGAAGACCTCACAGGCATCCTGGTTCCTGTCCCAGCCCCTCCTTTTATTTTCTTGTCCCCTCACCTGCCCCAGGACAAGCCAGCATGGTCAGAGGCCAGAAACACCAAGCTGAGGTAGATGAACATGCTCCAGGCTACATGATTCCAAGAGCTAGACGGCTTCCCTCATCGTAGACTCAGAACAGCATAGGTCGAGGACGCTGCACACCTGGATGGGGTCTCCCTGGCTAAGCCTGAGGCATAGGCAAGGTCTCACTGGAAGGCTCCAAGGGAGCATGGTTCTGGGGTCTCTTGAGCGTCAACTCCTACCCACCCCCACTCTTCAGAGCCAGAGGCCCAGCACCTTGCCTCCTTCTCCAACCATCCACCTGCTTCCCTTCGATGCCACTCGTGGTGGCATCAGATCCTCCTGCCCAGCCTACAGTACTGTCCTGTCTGTGAAGTCCTTCTGCCCTGTGAGGACACAGACACGGGTTCTAGGAGTACCACTCCTAGGACACTGCAGTTAGCCCTGAATGAATCCTTCCATCTATTATGAGAGAAGCAGGTGACTTGGGTGGAGGTTCAAGTTAAATTCCTACAGAGCAGAGACCAGTTTCCTTCAGGACCCCGAGCATCCACCCTCTCCAACCAGAGCAGCGGCAGCAACAGGGGGACAAATGAAAGCTCTGGGACCACAACGGCCTAGGCAAGGCAGAACCCCTGATGAGAGGTGGACCAAGAGGACGGTGATGCTCCTACTCGCCTTCTGGGCCCGCAGCCCCTCTAGAAGCTTCCAGATCCTTGGGGAGCAACACCGTACAGACTCAGGGTACCTGCTGTTGCTGTTTATTCAAATTCTGCAATTAGAGGCTCCAAGGACTGGTGGCCCAGCCTCAGAGGGCTGGACTGGGCTGGAGGACACTGGTGGCAGTCCCCTGCTCACTGGCCTTGTGGCTTTGTTGCAAAGGAGGGAGTCAGTGTCCTCAGGGCTGGGAGTCTGTATGGGGCCATCATGGACAGCTTGACGGAAAGATAATCTTGTAGCTGCCCCATCTCTCAGCTGGGATGGCCTCAGAGGTATGGGCATCCAGCAGCAGGCAGGAGGGCTGCAGGGCAGGGGTAGGGGAGTTGCACAGTAGGGTTGGGCAGGAAGGCGGGCAGCAAGGACAGCTCACAGGAAGGGTCCACACTGCACACAGACCCTCACAGCAGGGCCCCATAGGCCTGGACATCAGCAGTTCCCGAAGTCCTGGGGTTGGCAGCAGGTGGCAGGGACACAGAACAGGAAGGCGGGGCAGGGAGTCACTCATTCACACTGCTGGAAGGTTCTGGAATCCAGGGACTCTTCTGTGAGCACATGGTAGTTTTGCTGAATGAGCCATTGAGTCCCTGTATCAATCACTACACAACAGGGTCAGTGTGGTACTTGGTGATTAGTTGTCAGCTTGACAGAATCTAGCATCTTGCCAGGCCCCTGAGCCTGACTGTGAGGGATTATCTTGATAATGAGTGGGAAGACCTGACCACAGAGGGTGGTACCATTCCCTGGCGGGTTTCCTGGGCTAAGTGGAGAAAGAGAGCCGAGCAGCACCATGCACCCCCTCTGCTTCCTGACTGTGGATGTGACATGATCAGTGCACTGTGGTCTGAACAGAGACACTGGAAGCACATATGTATGTGGGCATGCTGTGTACCAATAAAACTTTATTTGCAAAACAGGAAGAGGCCAAATTTAGCCCACAGACCCTAGTTTCCTAACCTCTCCATTAAAGTTTTCCTGTACACAATGAAGTCAAAATAAATAATAAAAGCAATGATGAAATATATTATTGCCTTCAAGCACTCACTAATACCACGAGATAGAAAAGAATAACCTGTGCTAATGTTTCACCAAGTCAGTGTTGCTCCAGGAGCAATAATGACCTGAGAAACAGGAGCATGACCCCCATGAAAGTCAAACCAGATAGAACCAGAATATCTTGTTGATGGAAGGAGAAATTGACCTCAGTGTCAAAGTTATTTATAGAACAGCCTAACTCAGGAAGATGCATCCCAGAATAAGCCTCTAAGATGCAGGTAATAGATACACC